ATATGACACTAAGAATGCTTATCGATTCCTATCCAGCAGCAGCATTAAATTAAGTTGTGGTGGTTGAAATATAAAGTTGCATTTACTATGTGTTTTGGAGATGGCCACTCGCTTGTGAAATACGTTATCTTGTGGATTGCCTTAGCGGCCTTAGCGCCTTAATAGCCCAGGCATAGTTAACTGGCTGCTCAGCCTGCCCATTCACGTTTTGTGAATCCAGCTTTCAAAATACTACGGACTAGCTAACTAGTAACTGTGCGTTATAATTTGGTTGAAAAGAGAGGTAAAGAACTCATTGCTTGTTTTCTATATTTTCTGGAGTCGCCTTTTCGGTCCTTGGAGGTGAAGGGGAAGGAAAGCCAGAAAGACTAGACAATTAACAAAACCATATATGTAGGTATATTACTTGGGCTTTGGATTTCTCTATTCTAGAGAAGCTGGTCTGGAGGATCTCCTTTAGACATTGTGAGAGACGTAGTCATCCTAAGGATATGCGGATTATGTTGAGATATATATTTTCGGCCAGTCCTTAGCATCTTGCCGAACGACAATTCACTCCATCACTATCAGACCTTGGAATGAATAAAGTGCTAGGTAATACTGCCCTCATACTCCCTGGGCAAGGGTTAACCCCCACGACCCCCGAGTTTCGGTTGGTCTCGGTAATAACGGGATTTCTGAATGGGGATCTCCACTTGGAAGCTCTTGTCTGTGGAAAGGAAGAAGGACATTCTAATTGGAAGACATAGAAACACTAATCGCTATATGGCAAGGCTTGTTCGTTAACTGTCTTGGCTAGCATGTGCGCTTACACTTTCGTGTGGGGAAACGCGGAGACGTGGGGGAACATGGGGGAACATGGGGAAAACCAGAACTCATCGAATTGATGACGTGGGGTGGTGCAATTGACCCTATATATATTCCTTGATAGGTAAAACAGAGGGATACATAATCTCCTATGCAAGACCCCACCATGTCCAAACCAGACATCGTTCACAATGAAGCGGCAGAGCAGCAGAAGGGGGACAAACTCGTGGACAATAGTGGCATTGTACGCGTCCCCTTGACCGAAGAAGACAGCAAGCGCATCTGTCGCAAGACCGACAGGACTATTCTAGTTGTTCTCATCTGGGTCTACTTCTTGCAGATTCTCGATAAGACAGTCCTGGGATACGGTGCAACATTCGGTTTACAGAAAGACACCGGTCTTACTGGCAACGAATACTCGCTGATCGGCTCAATCGGACCAATTGCACAACTTGCCTGGCAGCCCTTTTCTTCATACCTGATAGTCAAGGTTCCCCACAAAATCCTTATGCCAGTGCTATGCCTTGGGTGGGGTATTGCGCAGACATGCATGGCTGGATGCCACAACTTCGGCTCCTTGATGGCCGCTCGATTTTTTCTCGGCCTGTTTGAGGCGGGGTGTCTCCCTCTCTTTGGTGTTATCACGAGTCAATGGTACCGCCGTGCAGAGCAACCGATACGGATCGCTGCGTGGTATAGTACCAATGGCCTAGCAACTATCGTCGCAGCTGCTTTGTCGTACGGATTGGCGCAGATAGAGTCAGACGTGCTCAAATCATGGCAGATGTAAGAAATCAACCCGTCCGATCCCCGAGATTGACATATTCTGACTGCGCTCTAGCATATTTCTCGTGGTTGGCTTGATAACTGTCGCATCTGCTCCAATCGTCTACTGGCGTCTGGACAACGATATATCCACCGCTCGCTTCCTTAGTGAGGAGGAGAAAGCCCAAGGAATGGAGCGCCTTCGAGCTAACCAGACTGGAACTGGAAACACCGAGTTCAAGTTCAGTCACGTCCTCGAGGCCTGCTTAGAGCCCAAAACATATCTCTGGATTGGAATGGCAATGCTCCTCAACATCGGCGCCAGCGTGACCAACATCTTCGGTCCACTGATTTTAAGCGGCCTTGGCTACGATAAATACAGGACAACTCTGCTGACAATGCCATTTGGCGCGTTGCAATTCCTCATCATTCTGCTGGCAAGTTATCTTGCCCAAACCGCTCGTGTGAAGGGCGCTATCATCGCGGCTTTCATGCTGCCTGTGATAGCAGGCCTAGCAATTTTGTATGCAGTGGCTCGGACCAAGTCTGTGCAGGGCCAGTTACTTGCTGGTTACTATCTACTGGCATTCTTATTTGGGGGCAATCCATTGATTGTGACCTGGATCATCGGCAACACGGCAGGCACCACCAAGAAGTCCGTCATCATGAGTTTGTACAACGCAGCAAGCTCGGCAGGAAATATCGTTGGCCCGTTGCTCTTCAATGAGAAGGACAAGCCAGCCTACCACCCAGGCCTGCGGGCATGTCTCGGAATTTTCAGCACCTTGGCCGCTGTTGTTCTTATTCAGTGGGGCAATCTATGGTTCCTCAACAAACAACAAGCCCGTCGACGTGTACGGAATGGCAAGAGAGCTGAAATAGTTGACCTTTCGATGCAAAATAATTATCACGACATGCATGATAACCTAGAGGAGACTGGACATGAGATTGTGCAAGTTGGGGACAATGCGTTTCAAGATCTGACTGATCGGGAGAATGATGAATTTGTTTATATCTATTGAGGCTAGTGACCATTTGCAGTCCAATATATGCGAGTTGACTGATACTATCAGCAAGTGAATGAAGAGAGTGAAATTGAGGCCTCAGGCCACATTCTGGTGCCCGAGTAGTCCAAACACGAGTCGGATTGGTAGATACATGTAGATTTCTCTCTCTTCTACCTCTTTTCTCTCCTGTTTCCCCGCCTTTTCTGTGCTCTTTGTCCCGTGCAGGTTGAGCCTTCCAAATTTAGTTTTACCCTCCTGCCTATCCTGAGCTCAGCTGCATTCCCCAGACGGGGTTGGATAGGGAAGATTTCCACCTCTTGCCTATCCTGGCCCCTGCCGCATTCCCTAGGGAGGATAGGATATATTTTCATCTCCTGCCTGGAGAGGGATAGGGAAGCAAACAAGCCAAACTGCACAGACCACGTCAGTTTGGCCACGTGTTGACCGTTCAAACTACAATATGCAGCTATCCTCGGACATTACTAGTTGAGACTCCAATACTTTCGAGGCTAGGACTCAAATCGACTAAGATTCATGGCACATGGAAATGTGGTTGTGAACTGAAGCGTGGGAATGACCCGGGAAAACAGGGTTCTATATTGGAACTCGGGCTAGGTGTGTAGTTTATCCCGGAGTTGAACCATGGTGCTGCCCAGATGAACTTCCTGACTGCTGACTCCTTAGAAATATGGTTATGAGGTCAATCTCCTCTTTGCAGTCTTCTTGTGCCATGCCACCATATAGGACCCCATCGACCATAAGACAAATGCTTACGATGCCTGCACGTATACTGGCAAGTCATGGATGGTTTGATTCTCTTAATGAGATCTCGAATATGCAAATGCGACAGGGCAACGACTTTCGGACTCGGACTCGGCCTTTTGAGATTTCAAATTAGCCGGACTGGAAACCCCTAGGAGACTAGGATCTTAGGATTTCTAGATTTCTAGAGTAACATGAAGGGAGAATATACAGCAAGTTTCTCTACTCGCATGGCGAAAACCTGGTGGATTACATAACTTTGCCATGATTTGTCTGGTTTCATATCACAACCCCGGAGGTTGATCTCGGAGTCGGAACCAGCTGAAAACAACGACAAGCTGACCCGAGATTGGATGTCCGAACTCTCCTAATCTGACAACAAAAGCGAGCCTCGGCACATTGATATGTACCGGTTCCCGTCGCTGCTAACTGTAGTGTGAACTTTTGCGGAGAAAATCTTGTCCCGATTGTCCACGATTGATACCCTATAGACCCTTCATTGCAATACGCGAAGTCACACATTGGTCGTACCAGCCTGTGCAGAGTCAGTGAAATCCGAAATACACAATGACAGGTGATCTTCAGCACACCGGGGAACCGATTGCCATCGTGGGAAGTGCTTGCCGCTTTCCTGGTGATGCAACAACACCCTCCAAGCTATGGGACCTGCTAAAAGCACCTCGAGATGTTCTTAGCGAGATTCCAGAAAGCCGCTTTAGCACCAAAGCATTTTACCATCCCGATGGGCTTCACCATGGCACAACGAATGTTCGACACTCCTATCTGTTGTCCGACGATCATCGACTGTTTGACGCTCAATTCTTTGGAACCAAACCAGTGGAAGCAAACTCGATTGATCCGCAACAAAGACTGTTGCTGGAGACTGTTTACGAGGGACTTGAAACGTCTGGAATTCCCATGGAAAAGCTACAAGGGTCAAACACGGGGGTATATGTTGGTTTGATGACCAATGACTATGCCGATATGTTGGGTCGGGATGTGCAGAACTTTCCTACCTATTTTGCATCGGGAACTGCTCGAAGCATCCTATCCAATCGAGTCTCCTACTTTTTCGACTGGCGAGGACCTTCCATGACCATCGACACGGCATGCTCCTCCAGTCTAATTGCCCTACACCAGGCCGTGCAGAGCCTACGAAGTGGCGAGACTGATGTCGCGGTGGCAGCAGGAACCAACCTTCTGCTGGGGCCAGAGCAGTACATCGCAGAGAGCAAGCTGAAGATGCTCTCCCCGACGGGTCGCTCGCGCATGTGGGACAAAGGCGCAGATGGATACGCGCGTGGTGATGGGATCGCTGCCGTCGTACTCAAACCATTGAGTGCAGCATTGGCGAATGGAGATCACATTGAGTGCATCGTTCGGGAAACGGGCGCCAACCAAGACGGTCGCACCAAAGGAATTACGATGCCCAACCCGGTGGCTCAAGCAGACCTTATTCGGACTACGTACGCTCGAGCTGGCCTCGATCTTTCCAAACCCACTGACCGACCACAATATTTCGAAGCTCATGGTACTGGTAAGTAGTCGAATCAGTCTTAGGCTTAGTGGTTTAGCCTGCTAACCAAATCAGGAACCCCAGCAGGTGACCCAGTCGAGGCGGAGGCCATCAGCACAGCATTCTTCGGACAAGCGGCCAAATATCAACGCGACGGTAACCAGGAGCACCCCTTGTATGTTGGGTCCATCAAAACAGTGATTGGCCACACTGAGGGCACGGCGGGATTAGCAGCGGTCCTCAAAGCATCACTTGCTTTACAGCATGCCATCATCCCGCCAAACCTATTGTTGAACGAGTTGAGTTCCACGGTTCTTCCCTTCTATAACGACCTTGAAATCCTTCAAGTTGCGAAAGAATGGCCGCAACTTGCGCATAACACCCCTCGTCGTGCTAGTGTCAATAGCTTTGGCTTTGGTGGTGCAAATGCTCATGCGATTTTGGAAGCATTCGATGCGCGCCTGGTTGATCGTGGTGACGACGCCGCAGATGGCAGCTCTGCAGCAGTGTCACCCTTCAATTTCTCCGCCTCCTCCGAACAGTCGCTTCTCGCCAACGTTGCAGCGTACTCGGCATATTTGCGAAATCACTTAGATATCAATATCCGTGATTTGTCATGGACATTGAACTGTCGGCGTTCCACTCTCCCAGTACGGCTATCCGTGTCTGCATCAAGCCCAGGAGAGCTTGCCACGAAGCTGGATGAAGCAGTAGTGTCCGCGGCAATAACTCCAAGCACGCAAACAGGAAATATTCGCGAGCCAAAACTCCTTGGGGTGTTTACAGGCCAAGGAGCACAGTGGGCAAGGATGGGTGCTGAGTTGCTCGAAAGCTCCCCAATGTTCAGTGATTGCATCGCTCGTCTCGATCGGTCTTTGCAGGAACTACCCACTGAGCATCGCCCCGTTTGGTCGCTGAGGGATGAGCTCCTTAAAGACAAGTCCTCTTCTCGTATCGGCGAGGCGGCGTTTTCGCAACCTCTTTGTACCGCGATTCAGATTTCGTTGGTCCAGCTTCTCCGGGCAGCCAATCTGAAACTCACTGCTGTCGTTGGCCATTCGTCTGGGGAGATCGCCGCAGCGTATGCCGCGGGATATCTCAACGAACAGGATGCTATTCGCATTGCCTATTACCGCGGATGGTCTCTTCAATACGCAAGCGACCAGGGAGGACAGAAAGGAGCAATGATGGCCGCGGGAACATCGTTTGAAGATGCAAAGGAGCTTTGCGAGATGCCGTCACTCGAGAATAGGATTTGCGTGGCGGCTAGCAACTCCTCCGCCAGCGTCACACTTTCCGGGGACGCCGACGCCATCGACGAGGCGAGGGAAATCCTTGAAGACGAGAAGAAATTTGCTCGCTTGCTGAAAGTTGACAAGGCTTATCACTCACATCACATGCTTCCCTGCGCAGCTCCTTATATCGCAGCGATCCGCAAGTGTGGTGTAACTATCCAGCGTCCACCGAGTGGCAGTGCTACCTGGATCTCCAGTGTATATGGCGAGAATATCGATGACGTGGATGACAGCCTTGTCGACACTTACTGGAGTAACAACATGGTCAAGCCCGTACTATTTTCCCAAGCCATCACTTATGCAGTTGGTGCAGCTGGGCCATTCCACATGGCTTTGGAGATTGGTCCTCACCCAGCATTGAAAGGACCCGCAATGCAAACGATCCAAGAAGTGGCTGGCGAGACATTGCCTTACACCGGGACCTTGAACCGTGGCAGAAACGACAGTGAGGCTTTCTCATCCGCCCTGGGTGCCCTATGGATTTCCTTGGGTGAGAATGTCGTGGACTTCGCAGGGTTTGAAATGAAAGCAATGCAAAAGAAAAACAGTCGAACCCCAAACCTCATCAAGGGCCTTCCATCATATTCTTGGGATCATGATCGGGTCTACTGGCACGAGTCTCGATCGTCTACCGCAATACGCACCGAAAGGGAGCCGTTTCACCCCCTACTGGGTGTCAAATCCCCCGACGGGACAGACAATGAGTTGCGCTGGCGCAACTATCTCCACCCAAGGGAAGTTCCTTGGCTGGCACATCACCAAGTCCAAGGTCAAATGGTATTCCCTGCGGCTGGCTATATATCGGCAGCGGTTGAGTCTGTCATTCAAAAGTATGGCCTGGGTTCTGTGCAACTGATCGATTTCCATAATGTGGTCATCGGACAAGCATTGGTGCTTGAAGAGAACGGAGGCGTGGAAACAATCTTCAGACTTTCAATCGATCAAGTTCAACCTAATCGCGTTTCTGCGTCCTTTACCTGTCATTCCGCCGCCAATAAGGGGTCATCCAACATGTCTCTTCACGCATCTGCCACCCTGAAAATTATTCTGGGTGACCCCAAACACGATATACTGCCACCACACGCCCGGCCGCAAGGTTCATTCCTGGATCTGGAAGCCGACCGATTCTACAACTCAGTTTCCGAGCTTGGGTTTGGCTACACAGGCCCCTTCCAGGCCCTTTCCAACTTGCACAGAAAAATGGACGAGGCATCGGGTTTGATCGCCGTCCCAGTGGATCCCGACATGGAAAGACCGTTGATCATTCACCCAGCCTCTCTTGATGGAGCTATTCAGTCCATCATGCTTGCCTATTCCTTCCCCGGCGACGGTCGTCTACGTACCCTTTACCTTCCCACTCGAATCGACAGGCTTCGCGTCAATCCGACCGCCTGCGTCGTTCTTGGTGCCCCCGGTGCAGACCTGCCCTTTCATTCTGCGGTCACGGATGCACGCTTTGCCGAACTCTCTGGCGATGTTGACATGATTTCCCCAGACGGGAGACACACTTTGCTTCAATTGGAAGGACTTCATACCACGCCGTTGAGTCCATTGACGTCCACAAATGATGTTCCCTTTTTCACAGAAGTGATCTGGGATGTTGATAGGCCGGGGCAGTTAAAGAAAGCTGGAGGCATGCAAGACCATTCCCTAGCCATGGATCTCGAACGCGTCGCGCATTTCTACTTCAGAAAACTCCAAAATTCGCTTCAGCACTCCGATCGTGCAAATGCTACATGGAATCATGCACATCTTCTCTCATATGTGGAGCATTGTACAACGTCCGTTGCCAATGGGAAACATAGATTCGCAAAGCAGGAATGGGCCAATGACGCCATGGGCGATGTTGCTCCAATTCTGGATCGGTGAGAATTTGTTGACCTGACCGAAATTGAACCACACTGACTGGCCTACGTAGTTATTCCGACAGTCTCGACATCAAACTGCTGTGCGCAGTCGGCGAAAACCTTGCTGCTGTCATTCGCGGAGATATGAACTTGCTTGAAATCCTGATGCATGACAATATGTTAGCGGAATTCTACTCCAAAACACTTGGAATAGACGTATATCTGGATGCTATTGCTCAAACGGCTCGCCAGATCAGCCACAGGTATCCCCATGTTAACGTTTTGGAGATCGGTTAGTCCACGCACATTTTCCCAATTGCGTTCGATACTAATGTATTATAGGAGCCGGCGCTGGCGCTACTTCAGATAGAGTCATTCATGCAATGGGATCCTCCTTTGCGTCATACACATACACCGACATCTTGGATGCGCAGTTTGATCACGCACGCGAAAGATTCTCGGATTATCAATCCAGAATGGCATTCAAGGTGTTGGATATCGAGAAGGACATCGGGGAGCAAGACTTTGAAGAGGGTTGTTTCGACCTTGTTATTGCTCCTCTAGCCCTGTACGCCACCAGAAAACTTGAAGCAACCCTCACAAATGTACGTCGGCTGCTCAAGCCTGGTGGATACCTGGTTATGCTCGAACTCACCGACTCTGATGTCATGCGCTTCGGGCTCATACTTGGTGGCCTACCGGCCTGGTGGTTAGGCTATGAGGAGGGAAGAACATTATCACCCTGTGTATCGGAGGACAAATGGGAGGGACTGATGCAGAAGGCCGGATTTTCCGGGTTCGAAGCCCTGGTATCGTGTTCCAGAACCTCACCTCTGCCATTCTCTGTCATGGTTACCCAGGCTGTCGATCACCGTGTCAGCTTTCTTCGCGATCCCCTGGCGGCGAATCACATACCACTGGGTGTGGACTCGTTGACAATCATCGGAGGGAAAACGTCCTTGACTGCTGATATGGTAGCCGATATCAAAACAGCTGTCCGCCCCCACTACAGCAATATCTACACGGCCAGTTCTTTAGATGACCTCGTCTCAGCAAGCTTGCCCGTAATGGGGTCAGTGATTAGTTTGATTGAATTGGATGCGCCAGTTCTCAAAAACATGTCTGCTGAGAATCTGAAGTCATTCCAGGAGCTCTTCAAGCAAAGCAAGAATGTTCTATGGCTGGGACACGGTGCCCAAGGGGAGAACCCCTATGGCAACATGTTTTCAGGAGTCCAACGCACCTTGGCCATGGAGATGACTCACCTCCATATCCACTTTCTTAACCTCCATTCGCTCCACGATGCTGATGCAAATATCATCGCAACAAAGCTCCTCCATTTGGAAGCTGCCGAAATTTGGGATCAAAGTGGCCAGCTCGACGGGATATTGTGGTCTAACGAGAGGGAGCTGCTGCTGGAGAATGGACACTTCAAAGTTCCTCGATTCCGCCTCAATTCTAGTCGAAATGATCGATACAATTCGTCAAGGCGTCTCATCATTAAAGAGGTTGAACGTGCCGGATCTGTGGTCACCATTCAACCGACTGAAATTGGATATCAAATTGAAGAGAAGGACCCTCGAGCCTCGCCCTCTTTCCCGGATGATATGAATATCGATGTGACTCATTCTATGCTCCGTGCTTTGCGCATCACTCCATCTGACAATTGTTTCTTGGTGGCTGGAAAGAATATGTGGAATGGTGAGCGTGTGATTGCCCTGTCGCATACCCTGGACTCTCAAGTCCGTGTGTCGCGTGGCCTGGCGGTGCGATGTGGAGATTCCGAAGACCTAGCAACTCGATCGATGCTCACCCTGTATTTCCATTTCCTTGCTCTCTCTATGCTGCAACAGCTTCAATCGGGAAGTGTACTGGCTGTGTTGGACCCGGATTTCTCCTTGTCACCCGTCCTTACGAAATACGCCAGCGAAAGGGGTGTTCAACTTGTGCTTTTGACAACAAAGGAAGGGCATTGCTCCTGGCCGTGGGTCAGAATCCACCCGAACTCCACCCGGCGTGAAGTACTAAGCAAGTTACCTGGCAATATTTCACGACTTGTCGATATGAGTGGCAGCTCCGATGTTACTGCCCTCTTGAAGGCATGCTTGCCGACAGACTGTCATTTCGCGAGCGAGAGTACTCTGACTGCAAACTGCTCCGAATCTCAGTACACCTCGGATAGAGGCCAATTGGCTATGCAGCTGCAGAATTCCTGGTCGAGAGTACAATACGACCTGATGCCAGTCAATATGCACAAGTTTGCTCCTTTAGGACTCGAGGACCTGATTCGTGCAAAGTCCCCCCTTGCAGAGCAGTCTTTAATTGCATGGGGTCAATCACAGATTCCTGTTCAAGTTCGCCCTGCTACTAAACAAGTCAAATTCTCAAAAGACAAAACCTACTGGCTAGTTGGACTGACAGGCGGGCTCGGTTTGTCGCTTTGTCAGTGGATGATCGGACAGGGGGCACGATACATCGCGCTATCAAGTCGAAAACCAAATATTGACGACCAATGGCTGCAGAGAATGGCTGCGAATGGCTGCACTGTCCGAGTCTTTTCCAAGTAAGCTCTTCTATTTTACATGGGTCGCAGTGACTAACACCTGCAGTGACATAACGAATCGGGAATCCGTTCAAGCAACCCATCGCAATATCAGCGAAACCATGCCTCCCATCGCTGGTGTTGCACAAGGTGCTATGGTGCTGCAGGACACAATGTTCATTGATTTAGATCTCCCTCGCCTTGAGAAGGTTCTTCGTCCTAAAGTTGAAGGAAGTATATTACTGGACGAGTTGTTCCCAGAGGACACGTTGGAATTCATGGTCTTCTTTTCATCCATGGCTGCGATGACAGGAAACCCTGGCCAGGTTGCCTATAATGCCGCGAATATGTTTATGGCGAGTTTGGCAGCCCAGCGCCGAAACCGTGGCTTGGCAGCGCATGCGATTAACATCGGCGCGATTGTCGGTAATGGCTACGTGACGCGAGAGCTTAACATGGGCCAACAATCATATCTTTACCGAGTCGGCCATTCATGGATGTCTGAGCAAGACTTCCATGAGGTTTTTGCCGAAGGTGTACTGTCTTGCATGGAACGGGTAGGAAGCGCTGAATTGTGCTGTGGACTCAGAATTGACGACGATGAGTCAAAGAGTTGGGTTTCTAACCCAATGTTTCAACATCTGGTCTACAAGTCTAGCAATCTCGTGGTGGCAGAGAAGAAAGGGAAATCTGGCGTGTTGATAAAAACACGCTTGTTCGAGGCAACTTCAAATCAGGAAGTCATCGAGATCTTGCAAGGTACGGGGAATCGCAAATTATACATCCACTTGAAACTAATTCTTTAGATGGCTTTGTGTTGAAGCTCCAGTCAGCCCTCCAGGCTGATCCCAACAAGCCCATGTTGGACATGAGTCCGGATGAGCTTGGGGTGGATTCATTGGTCGCGGTTGACCTTCGATCGTGGTTCCTCAAGGAGCTGGGGGTCGATATGCCGGTGCTGAAAATCTTTAACGCAGCGTCGGTTCGTGAGCTTTTGGCCACTGCGGCAGAAGTTCTACCAGAATCTTTGACTCCCAATTTGATGTCCGGCGAACAGACTGTAAAGCCACTGGGCCCTCCACCCAACAATCCTTCGGTGGTTGCAACAACTTCCCCCGCAGATTTGCCCGCGGATATAATAGTCCCAGAGACCAGAGCCAGTTCCGTGGAATTGAAGTTTGCACTTCCGGACGCAACAAACGCGTACAGTGGCAGCTCGGCGACGTCTTTAGTCACTGGAGACTCGAACTCCGAAAATAATGACGATACTTCCTCGTCCGTTTTTACTGATGACAGCGAAATGGGACCCCCGAAACGTGAGATCCAAAGAACAGTTCCAATGTCCCACGGACAGTCGCGTTTCTGGTTCCTAGAGCACCTGGTTGAGGACAAGACATCATTCAATATTACACCGACGTTTGAGTTGTCTGGTCGCCTAAGAATTGGCGAATTTGCGAACGCTGTAAAAGCCGCAGGACAACATCACGAAGCCTTGCGTACTTTCTTCTTCACTGACAATGAGCGGAATCATATGCAAGGCGTCTGGACGAGATCTTCCTTACAGTTAGAGCACGTTACAATCTCGGACGAGACAGAAGTCGAACGGGCCTCAAAACAGATGGAGGCACACGTCTTCAATCTCTCTGATGGCGAGGTCATGCGTGTTCAGCTGCTTTCGCTCGGTCTAGAAAAGCACTGGATAATCTTCGGCTTCCATCACATCAACATGGACGGCATTAGCTTTGAAGTATTTTGGTCAGACGTGGAAAAGGCATATCAAGGCCAACCCCTTTCCGAAGATGGACTTCAATATCCGGACTTTACTCTGCGGCAGCTTCGTGAATACGAAGGCGGCACCTGGGCTGGGGATCTCGCTTACTGGAGGGCACAATATACAGAGATTCCACCCGCAATTCCCCTTCTTCCATTTGCTCTACAACCCATGCGCCCCAAGGTTGCTCAGTTCAGGTCGTATACTGCCCAGATTCGTCTCGATGTCAGTCTGACGGATTCAATTGACCGGTGTTGCCGGATGTTCAAATCGACACCCTTCCACTTCCATTTGGCTGTCTGGAAGACCCTTCTTCTGCGGTTCTTCGATATGAAGGATGTTTGCATTGGCCTCGGAGATGGAAATCGTACGGATGCCGACATTCTTCGGAGTATGGGACTTTTCTTGAACCTCCTTCCTGTGAGGTTCTCTCAACAGCCAGGCCAATCGTTTGGGGAATCTCTCAAGGAGGTCCGGAATGTCACGCAGAATGCATTTGCCCACTCGCGTGTGCCGTTCGATGTGATCTTGACGGAACTCAACGTTCCACGATCCGCATCACACAATCCCCTATGCCAAACCTTCTTCAACTATCGACCCAAGGTCGAGCAATCACGAAGCTTCTGTGGCTGTGTAGCCAATGGCGCACTTTTGGGTGGCGGCGAAACCTCTTTTGACCTCGGTCTAGATGTTGGCAACGTCGGTGCCGGCGAGACGCTAATTCACCTGTCTGTCCAGAAGAGTTTGTATGGCATGGAGCATGCGGAAATTTTGCTCAGCTCCTATGTCAATATCCTCCGGTCTTTTCTTCAAAATCCAGCGACTCGGGTGACCTGGCCGGAGTTACATTCCAAAGATGAAATCCAGAAGGCAGTGGCTGTGGCCCGAGGCAAGTCAATTACCCCTTGCTAGCTGTAGGCCTTTTGCTAAATATACTGTTATATAGGACCTGAGCTCCGAGACGAATGGTCCATGACTATCGTCCACCGCCTGGATGAGGTTGCCTTGCGCTATCCGGACCGTGTCGCATTGAAGAACCACGATGGGAGCTCCTTGACTTATAAAGAAGTCCAGTGTCGGATCGATGTTATCGCCAACGAACTCCTACGCAATGGAGCTGGCTCAAGCACCCGTGTTGGGGTTTTCCAGTCCGCAAGTGCAGACTGGATATGTTCCCTCATGGCCATCTTGCGTGTCGGTGGTGCTTACGTTCCATTGGACAAGAAGGTGGGGATGGACAGACTCGCGAAGATCATGAAAGAAACACAAGCACCGATGGTATTGGTTGATACACACTCTATGTCTGACTACGCGCTCTTGCACACCACGGCGAAACCCATCGACGTACATAGTCTAGACGGCTCTACTGCATGCGCCGTCCGAAATATGGCTGTCCCAAGCCAGACAGCCGTGATTATGTATACCAGTGGATCAACTGGTGTCCCAAAGGGCATTATGATTGCTCATTCAGCATATGTTCACCACGTCCAGTCATCCAGTGTAGTGTGGAGACTGAAGCAGGGAAATGAGACTATCCTGCATCAATCATCCTATGCGTGGGATGCGTCTTTGTGGCAGATCATGGTCTCCATATGCTCTGGCGCGACCCTTGTGATAGCATCTGATCTAACACGAGGCGATCCCGTTGCTCTCACACGACTCATCGCGTCGGAGAATGTGACTTACACCCTTGCGACGCCCACAGAATATCTAGCTTGGCTACGTCATGGTCGCTCCCACTTGAGTAACTCTCGCTTGTCGACCGCGGTGTGTGGTGGTGAATTCATGTCAAGTGGCCTGATCAACGAGATCAAGAATCTTCATCGACCGGACCTCAAACTGATCAATGCTTATGGGCCGGCGGAGATCAGCTTTGCATGCTCGGGCAGTGAAGTTCCGTACAAGCTGGATTGTACATCCACATCCCTTTATACTCTACCAAACTACTCTGTTTACGTTGTCGATGAAAACCTGAACCCTGTTCCCATCGGAGTCCCTGGTGAAGTGGTCGTTGGTGGCGCAGGAGTTGCCCAGGGCTATCTTGACGGCACCAAAACAACTGAACGATTTTCAAATGATCGATACGCGAGCAACTTTTTCCAGGAGAAGAACTGGACTACAATCCACCGCACTGGGGATCGCGGAAAGCTCAATCGCGATGGTGGTCTTATTCTCCTCGGGCGCATGGACGGGGATAACCAAATCAAATTAAGGGGAATTCGCATCAATATTGAAGAAATCGAGACGGCAATTGTCAGTTCTTCAGCCGGAGCTATTACGCAAGCTGTCGTATCCGTTCGTTCAAATGCAACTGATCAATTTTTGGTTGCCTTTGCTATAATGGCCAACGCACACGAAAATGCCCTTCAATTTCTCGCCCGCCTTTCCCAAGAGCTGCCATTGCCAGGTCATATGAAACCCGCAGCTATCATTCCAGTTGAAAACATTCCCCAAAATACTTCGGGCAAGACTGATCGCGTCGCAGTCAGTGCACTTCCCATTCCGTTCATTTCCTCCCAGCTGCCGGACGACAGCACTCTCACGGCATTTGAACAGTCATTGCGTCAGCTCTGGCAACAAGCACTACCGCGGGAACTTGTTAGCTTCCACTCAATTGATTCCCAATCTGACTTTTTCCACGTTGGTGGAAGCTCCCTCGCCCTTGTCAATCTGCAAGCTCTAATCAAGGAGAACTTCGGAGCGTCTATGGCATTATATCAACTTTTCGAAGCCAGCAGTCTACGTGGAATGGCGGCCAGAATTCAAGACATATCTGGTTCCGCAGTTGAGCTGGATGTGAATTGGGATACGGAAGTTGAAGTCGCCTCCGACCTCGCTTCATCGCTGAATTATGGTGGCACTCACATTATCGCCTCGGGGGTCAAGACAGTGGTGCTTACCGGGGCAACTGGTTTTCTTGGCAAAGAGATACTCCGAGGACTCTTACAAGATGAAAAGGTCTCGTCCGTCCATTGTCTTGCTGTCAGAAAACGATCCTCAGGTTTACCTGAACTATTTTCCCATCCGAAAGTTCATTTGCATTATGGTGATCTTGGGGCTCCTCGACTAGGACTATCTGAATCTGAGACAAGCTCGATATTTTCATGTGCAGACATTGTTATTCACAATGGCGCAGACGTGTCCTTCATGAAAACATATCAGACTCTCAAGCTGATCAATGTTGCGTCTACGAAGGAGCTCGTCAAACTTGCATTGCCCCGGCGTATTCCATTTCATTTCGTCTCGTCAGCTGGTGTTGCACGACTTGCTGCCCAAGAAAGCTTCGGAGAGGTGTCTGTATCGTCATATCCTCCTCCATCTCGACCAACAGATGGGTACATCGCTGCGAAGTGGGTGAGCGAAGTCTATCTCGAGCACGTCAACCGCCAATTTGGTCTGCCCGTATGGATACATCGCCCATCCAGCATCACCGGTACCGATGCGCCGGAACTTGATCTCATGGGTAATGTCATGCGGTTCACCAAAGAAACCCAGAAAGTGCCAGACTCGAGCTCATGGTCGGGGGTTTTCGACCTCATTTCCGTAGAGTCGGCCGCAAGCCAGCTCCTCGAAGCCGTTCGCCAATCCGGTGTCACCGAACTAGCAACAGAGACTGTGACTTATCTTTATGAATCTGGCGAGACGAAGATTGGACGTGATGAGATTATGCCCTTGATGGAATTTGGCACGGGCCAGCAGTTTCAGATTGTTTCGCTCGACGAGTGGGTGAATGCTGCTGAACAAGCAGGAATGAGTGTGTTGCTGGGAGAGTACTTGCGCAGGGCCTCCGAGGGGCAAGTGCTCCTTCCCAGGTTGATTAAAACTACTGGATCTCCCTAGGATGAATGAGGATGGATCATGATGGATCAAGGTGTACGGGAATAGCTAGAAAGTTAGACATCGAATCAGTTACCATTGATCATGATGCACAAATAGTCCAATGCCTGTTCCCAATATCCGCTGTATTGCGGGAATGGACAGGAAATATATGTCAACGAGCTCTTTGAGATTCTTGTTAACCCAAATCATTGCTCGTCCACATTCCCCGTAGGCATACGCAACTGGGGCTTTGGGGGTTGCTGTTGTCGAGATATCTGTCTTATTCGAGTGCATCTCCTAGCTCTACGGTTTCATATCCTAGTATCCTCCAGCTATTATCGGAACAGAATAGGTACTCCCATGACCCGGAACAAGTAATTATATAATTCCAGGGCAGAAGTTAATGGTGAAACAGAAGAAAAAAAGATGCACTTGATTGATGCTCATATATCAACGTTAACATCTGCAAATAGCAATTAACTAGGCAAAGTACCATATTTTTAGGTGATCAGGAGCCATACAAATTACAGGCCCCTTAAATCTTCATCTCATGTTCTCTGTTTCTCCTTTTCCCTTCATGTCAAGATCCACACCTGACTATGCAGTCAGCTTGAGACATTTGAATGGAAAATATTTTGATTTAACCCACCGCCCAAGCCCAGGGCTATTGGTCTCCTAGGGGCTATGTTATCAATCCTTTTGAATTGGACGGACTTGTAGTTTTATCTTGTAATGCCAATGACCAGGTTAGATTTATGGTAGATTTCAACGGGATAGGGAAAAATCAGATTTCCTTTTCTGCAAATCCAGAGTCCACATCTTCATGCAGCCAGAATTGGACTCCATGCGATACAACACAAGGCACATTGTATGCAGAGAAAGGCGTAATGTCAAATTGTATTGGCAGCGCTAATCTTGCATCAGTAGGGTGTTACCATTCTTAGCTTTGAAATAACCACATCATATTAACTGAAAATCAAGTAGGACTGTCGACAAATAGTGATCTCTACGTTCTGGTGAGAACCCTAAGGCCTGGTTATTGTTCTAAGGGATATGTTTGGAAAGACAGTTGCAACTTTGACTAGGATCGCCGATTTTAAACCCATCATTGCATGCCCAGGAAAGGCACTGTTTCCGTTAATTTCTTTTTCTTTCTGCTTACTTTGATTACTATTCTTGTCGCTGTACGGTGAGATGCATTGAATTTTATATAAACGAGCCTCCCAGATTCACAGGTTAGAATTCTACCAGCTTCCGTTTTACAACCACAAAATGGCATCCCAGGATCAATTACCCTCAAATCAGACCGGCATCATTCAACATGAAGGCGGTATTCTTCAAATCACTCATGGTCTGCCTATCCCAGAACTCGGCCCCCACCAAATGTTGGTGAAGACTGCTTCCGTGGCCCTTAACCCGTGTGATTATAAGATGCCACTGAGGTTCCCGACCCCAGGGCTTTGGGATGGGTGTGACTTCTCAGGCATAGTGGTTGCGCTAGGAAGCGAGGTTGCTGCACAGGGACGATTCCGGCTTGGAGATCAGGCTTTTGGTGCAGTTCAAGGCTCAAATATGTCAGATCCAATGTCTGGATCCTATTGCGAGTACATTAGAACTGAACCAGGCCTTACTTTCCATGTTCCTAAAGAAATGGACCTTGTCAATGCACCCTCCCTCTCGGGGACCGCAATTGCCACTCTCGGGGTTGCTCTTTTTTGGTCACTTCAGTTGCCCGGAACATTGCACACACCAGCATCCAAATCCGAGGATGTTCTGGTATACGGTGGAAGTAGCACTATAGGGCTACTTGCAATTCAGATGGTGAAGCTGTAAGTAGTTCAGTTCCCTCCTGTAGCTTCATATTCCAACTGATCCATCTTGCTTAGCTGCGGGCACCGGGTAATCACCACATGCTCCCCTCACAACCGCGACTTGGTGACATCATACGGGGCGGATCTTGTCTTCGATTACCACTCTCCAACTTGTGCCGAAGACATTCGAGCGGCTACAAAGAACACCTTGCGCTATGCCCTTGATCCCTTTGCGGAAGCCAAGACTCTGCGGATGTGTTATGCAGCCATTGGTCGTACTGGAGGAAGGTACTGTGCACTTGAGCAGTATCAAGAAAGTCTTTGCTCGCGAAAGACAATTAAGCACGAGCTAGTCATGGGAGGTGCCATCTCCGGACGAGGTGTCAAGCTCCCAGACCCATACGGCATTCCACCGCGACCCGAGATTGGAGTCTGGGCTCAGTCCTGGTACCTAGAACTCCAACAATTGATAGACGATGGGAAGCTTAGACCCTGTCCAACTCAAATCGTTCCAGGCAAATTTGCAGGGATCTTGGAGGGGTTGGACATGCTGCGAAATGGAAGTGTTTCGGGAAAGAAGCTCGTCGTCCCTATGACCACAGAATGAAAGCTTGCCATTGAGTTGGAGGTTCCAAGCATAGCCCAATCCCGAACTATTTGAGAGGATACACCTTTTGGACCGTTGGAATCCCATATCACATTGTACAATCAAGACTGCCCATATATTGGCCGTCGTCATAGCCTACCTATCTAGCTTTGAAATGATTGACAGATCAGACATTTATCTTTGTTCCTTTTAGTTATGGTTGCTGGTGTGACGGACTTTAGACGTACAGTGCTCTCTATTATCTACTAACCCGAGTAGAAAATGGGCCATCCTATTAGAATCAAAACTAGAAGGATGTTAAATTAACAACATGAATTGAAGATTCAATTTGCGTCGAACGAAATTATCAACGGAGACCGTAGGGGAACTAATTTGGACCATCGTAAACCATCTTAGCAATAACCTTCTTCTCCTCCTTAGTCGTGCTAATGTTTCGTGTCAAATATCTCTTTCCGTCGAGCTCTTCAAATCCCCAAATCACTTCCGCTTCCCATCCCTTTGAAGTATTCTGGGCAAATTCTTGAATGACCTTGTCGCTCAAGCTACCCACCTCAACAATTTGACGGATGGAATCTTCCAGTATATCAGATCTGTCAATAAATTTGAGCTGCATCTGAACACATCCGAAGATAGGCAGCGAAACGTCTAGCTGGCTTCCGTCGATCGGATAACTTCCTTTGCTGTCAAAGCCCCCTGGGTTGACAGTTTGTGTCATATCAAGAGTCGTGACTGGTTTCAAATTGTCGGCCAAATCAGAATTTCCATTGGCGTTTCCATCCGTGCCTGTGCTTTTTTTGGATAGGGAAGTGGTCTGGTGGATTTTCAACGAAAGCTGGGCGTGTTGCAAGACCTTTCGGACAACCCAAGGTACGCCTTGCTATTTTTTCTTTTTTAGTAAGGAAAAGCCAGCATATCAATTTACTTGCTCTTACCAAGACGAAAACTTTATCTGGATCGGTGGACAGGTCTCGGTTCTAATCATCAAGTTAGCCCATGTCAGGCAAATAATCAAGAGCAAACGTACCAATACCCAGGTTCCAGTAAGATCAGGAACATCTTTGAAATCAGGCACAGCCATCCTCAGGGACTCAGATTTGGCAAATTAGTTGAGAAGACCTTGTTCCCTTCTTGGAAATGTATCTCTCTGTGGCAATGAGGCGAGTGGTTCCTTTTAAGGGTATAGTTGAATAATCCCTCCATCCTCCAGGGATCGCCATATGAGTTCTAAATCAAGATCGGACTCGGACTCGGTGTCCGAATATGCAAGGAATGTCACAGCTATTCATTCAACTGTGGCCAATCAATACCATGGCCTTGCATTGAAAAGAACCCAACGCGGCGTGGTTCCCATCCTAAATCAATATGCCTTGTTTCTCACTCAGGGAGTAACCCTACATCAACTTTTTCTCACCCGATTTTTGATAGTCGTGTGATAATCGTGTAAGGATACATTCTCCAACGCCGTCTGAACCTTCCTTATCTGATCTTTAGGCGTGTTTCTATCCTTCTTTCTCATTACTTCACAATTTGATTCCTTACTCTACCAGGTCCTAAAAATCAAAAGGAGCAAGTAGAACTTTTCAATATCGAGGACCATAAAATATTTAAATAATCACTGGGTCTTTAACAAGTTGCCGCAAGCACTCCATTATTTCCATCAAGGGCATTTCGCAAGGGTCTTGTTCTTGTGCTAGGACAATGTCACGGATTGAACTTGACCAATCTTCCTGGACTGGGTCGGATGGATCGAACTCTTGATCTTCTTGGGGTTGGGCTGGGCCTGACCGCAATTTAAGGGCTCGGTCAAGCTTACCCATCATTGTAGAGCTGAAATCAACCAATGAGTGCACTTGGGTAATGAGATTTCCATCCAAATGAAACTGCCCGAATCGCACCTTCGGTAACAATAGGATCGTGGCTGCATCAGTTGGAGGTATGATGAGAAACAGTTGGTACAACCGCATGAAAACAGCACGATATATTCGGACAAGTGAGCAATGTGCCTCCAATATGCCAAGCCACAGTGCTATATCGCATTTCGGGATCGTGGGATTCGTCGTTCGATCCGGAGATGTCGTCGTGGTATGATATCCAGAATCGTGTGGGGATACTGTGTTACCATCTTCATCCAAGCCATTGCCAGCGTCTGGAAGGATAGACAAAGAGTTTTCGTATCCGCTGCTCTCCGATTCAAATCGTTGTGACGCAAATGTAACATCCAAGCTCTCTTCCGTCGCGCCACGCGAAGATCGAACAATTGCCAAAAGGCAAGAGGAGTGATTAAGGAGACGGTATATCGGCAGGTCAAGCGTTTCAATTGACAAATTAGAATTTTCGTAGAAAAGGGATGAAGATTCTAGGAGCATCGATCCAGTCTCAAATAGCTCCAAATCCTCTAAGAGTCCCATCCTCAATCTTAAGAGACTCTTGCGAATGTCTTGAAGAGAGGAGAGAGCCTCTTGGCTTGTTGTCGCTAGGGGAGGCTTGTTTATAGTTGCAAGGTCTGGGTGATTCACCCACGAAGGATCTGGAAGGTCTTTTATTGCAGAGGGCAACTCGTTCTCGCCATAGTTGAAATGCTTATTTTGAACGGGGTCGGAAAATGCCATTTCAGTAGCTTGCATGGCACCTGGTGGAGTGTCACTGGTGAAAATAGAGGGAAAACAAGAATTTGGCCCGCAAGGATATAGTTGATTTGACGACACCCAATCGGGAGGCTATAGCGCTTGGTAATCAGTAGATGACTGTTGGGTTTCTCGAGGTTCAGCTTACTAGGTTATAAGCATCGGTTGACCAATTTGAATGAGGATTACTCCATTGCTCAACAGGAGGTATGGTGTATCCAAAGTCTAGGGGCATATTAAACCCGTCCGAGGATGAAGGAAAGCTGCCTCCAGAAAAAGCTGGCATTGACCCGACTCCTCCCCAGTAGTGGTGTTCTTGCATGTTGTGTCTCCCTGGGATTGGAGAGGGAGAATGCAACAACTTCTTTACTCTGGGAGCGGATGATTTGTGAAGGACAGACATCGATTCATGTCGTCGATTGAATCTTTGGCTCTCGCGGTCTTCTCGGGCTAGATTCTGACCATGGTTTGAGGGTAATATGACCGGTGCAGGCTGGTTCATACTGGTGATACATATTTCTTGGGCCTTAAGGCATCGCTCACAAGACATGCCATTCAAATGGTCGCGCTCGCAACGCAACTTTTGCCCGCGACAACGATCGCAAGCAGACCGTCGAGAATGCCGATAATTGTGGGCTGTATGCATTGTGAGGAACGAAAAATAGAAACAAGAAACAAGAAACAAGACTCGCTATGGCCGGCAATTGCAGAGATAGACCATTGATGGGAAGTTACCAAGGGCAAATATGTACTTTGTTGCTCCACTGAAATTGGATGCAATATAGGAACCTATCAATTGGTTTGAATCATTCCCATCAGCACATTGAAACAGACTTCAGACTCGAGGAAGGATAGTTCTATTCGAAATTAGAGCCTAGGAAAAAGGCCAGGAAAGCGCGTGGGTTGGTATCACCGCGCCTGTATACCTCTCCCTTGGGACATGGTCCACAGCATTCTTGAACACCCTACATGGTGATTCGTTGAAGACTCCCAATTCTTCCACGCCCAATTCTCAGGTGTGACAAATTCCCAGGTCATAACAACCTAGCCCTCTCACAACATGTGTATAGACATGCGAACATGCAGACAGAAGTTTAAGGGTATTTTCATCGCATCCATGAACTGAAGGCTGAGCCCCAGAGTCCTGGTACGAGGTGCGTCAAGATTCATGGAAGATGTTACACCATGCTCAAATGAGAGCAATGTATGAGGGAGCAGATCTGCTGTGATACGATGGAGGTGAATATTGTCTCACATAGCGCTGCATCTGAAACTTGAGCTCCCTTTTATGGAGGGCCAAGAGATTGAGACAGCTTCAACAGTCCTTTGGCCCGAGTCGAAGACATCAGATGAAATGTCGATGACCAGACACACAGACCATCTCACCTACAATGCCTAAAGCCGGTTGATCAGAGATATTACGTTACAGTACCTGTGTTGTAGGTACTGGAGGCGACCTTGACGCCACTGAGCCAAATGTCTGACCTAGATATCATCAATCAGACATAGACTACCAGAAAAGAATGCCAAAAACGAGTAGATAACTAAGATTTGGAAGATCGCAGTTCACGTTGAGCCCAGGCCATATCGAAGTTCGGAGAATTAAAGTCATCCTAGAACGCAGCTGAGAATCTTCCGGCTTGACGGTTTTGGGCCGATGTTTTCTTTTCTTTTTCCCCTGGATTTCGTATCTTACCTCCATATCTTGAAATCCACTGATTACGGAGTATTCTAGTACCAACCGTCGAGGGGGGAGAATGCAAAGTAAGGGGTTGAAAGCCCGACTACGCCCCTGGCCAGAGCGCGGCTGGGTTCCGAACACTGGAAATGTCCGTCGATTATAGCAGGCAAAAGATATATCAGGTATAATTCAAGGACAAACATATCCACTTCCTTCTGATTCCTACAGTGTAGAACGCCCGTGCGCTTGACCTTTGAAGAGAAAATGCCGGTGATACGTATTGTTTACATTGACGCCGCGAGCCGCTTATATCCCGGATTTGCGCCTAATATATGCGCCAGACCAGCCCAGATGAGAAAGATCCATTGGAATGTTTTGCAATCTTAGCCTAACTTCTGTTGTAATCAGCCAGTCTTCAGCAGAGCTCCTAGCGGAGTCAGTTCTTCGTGGGACTCTCTTAGAATCAGACAAGTATTCAGCAATAGAGAACAAAGTCAAAGAGCCTTCATGAGGAGTTTTTTTCACTCGGCCCAGGGTGTCCATTGCAGTCCTTTATCACAACGCGAACGCCCTGGCTCCCTTTTCGTGGGTGACCATTGAACATGTCTCTCACTATTCGAACGTCATCTACTGTAGTCTCGTAGAGCTCCATCTCAAATTTCCGGAAAATGGTAGCGATGGCTAAAAGAATCTCCGCCCGCGCGAGACTGGTCAACAGACGTTAGTACACGATTAGAGTAGAACAATCGAAGGATATTCACATACGGAATTCCGATACACTGTCTTGATCCCTTGCTAAAAGCAACCAGATACTTCTCGAGGTTTTTCCTCTGCTCTGGGTCCATCCATCGCTCTGGCACGAAGCTTTGCGAGTTTGGGAAAATATCTTCATTGTGGTGCATAAACATGCCGGTCATCCCCACAGGTGTCTGGTGTATTTTGTCAAAAGTAGGCCTAGGCAAACACGAAAGGGGGATGTAGGTATCGTACCCCGGGAGGGATGATCCAGTCCTTGTATGTCATAACTTGGTCTGGAGAGCAGCGTTGAAGCCGTGTTGCCACAGCGTTGGTGATTCTTCATGAGGGTCAAGTAAGCAAAGGCTAAAGTCGTACCAGGGGAGTTAAAACACAAAATCTTCATATACCTTAGGCCCTCCAGCATCACAGACGTCTACTATATCGTTAGGTGTTTGGCCATTTCATAAATGCAGAATTTGTGAATGATCAACTCACAAGGTACGGCATTGCTTCGTATTCTACCAGACTTGCGGTTCCATCGGGGTCAAGTCGGTTGAGCTCGTCCCGCAGCCTTTTTAGCTTGCCTGGGTTGTTCAGTAGATGAAAGGTGAGTGTCGTCAAATTCTTCGCAGTTGTTTCTCCTCCGGCCGAGATGACGGTGAAAACCTCTTGACTCAAGCGGCCAGGCGACTTCTCCTCTGGGGGAAGCTTGCTGTCTAGCAGCGCATGAAACAATGTGCCTTTCGGCACACTAACCTTATCATCTGCAGAGTTGCCACCGGCTGTTTGGCTATCAATGATCGACTTGGCGAGTCGCAAACTTTCCAGTTTCTGATCAATTACCGGGCCGATGTGAGGGTTGATGCTCACAACTAGCCACCGTGGAAGCAGTTCAAACAAGCTGAAGACCCAGCGAAACTGTTTGAATTGAACACCGACTTGCACAATTGCTTCAATTGTCTTCGACCACTGCGGTGTGAACTCAGGATCATCCAAATAATGGAACGATTCACCCATAGAATACTCTACAACCACGTCTGTCGTGAAGGCATTAAATGCATGATAAACATGCAGTGGTATTTGTCTCTCCTTCCAGTCTCGCATTCCTTTGCACAGCTTATCGATCATTCTCCGAATCATGGGCTCCAACTGTCGAATTCGCTGCTGAGAAAAGAATGGGTTCATTGGTTGTCGACGTATCCGATGGCGACGGTGGTCGACTGAGCCGAAAGCCGAGGCCGGTGCCCCGAACATGCCAGTCAAATGTAAGGATTTATTTCTCGGTTTGTCTCGAGAGTATAGGATTTCATAGTAGTCTGGGTCGTCGATGTGTAGTTCGAAGGGACTGATTCTCACAATCGGGCCGTATTTGCGATGCATCTCGGCGATTCGAAAGGTGTATTGGCCTTCTAGGAACGAATCATAATAGAACTCATACCACATTGTCAGAGCAGCCAGTTTTGGGCCGGGGAAACGGGCGAGTGGTGAAAACCATAACCGATATGTTGCCAACCAGACCCCGTAGGTCACTCCGACCACCCCAAGGGCCAAGATGGGCTGCGCGATAATGGCATTCCACCAATTCATGGTCCAGTGGATTTAAAATTGAGAGAAGAGACACGTAGACGAGGAAAGACACAAATGCTAATCTTCCAGTTCTCCCTTTTTATCTTGAGTTGTTGCCCCACACCTGTCAAGAAGGGCATTATTCCACTAGGGCGAAAAATGGATACTAGATGGTGATTGGAATCCATACTGTCGGTAACCTCGAGCGTCTTACTCCGTACATTTGTGGATGGGGAAAAGGATCAAAACAAGAACATCTGCTGTAATGTCAATCTTCTGCAACCTATGACAGCACATCCGTGCCAATAAAATTCGCGGATCATATGGAGACTGGTCGTGTCGTCTGAATGATATGTCTCGAGCTCAGGATCATCCATTTGGCTCCTTCTAAGTGGTTCGGATTAATCCTTTCAATCCCCGTGCAAGGGCACGGGGCTTCGGTGGAACCTTCAGGATGGAGGAACAAAGCGTTGAAACTGCTGAAGAATCAGGTGAATAATAATCATAATTATGTATGCATGGTCAAAGACTGATTTTGGCTTCTTCTTTTCCCAATTGTTCATTCTTCATTCCTGTTGTCTTCGGATGTTAGAGATGTCTTCAATGTTCCATGAACCTACGGTGACAGTTCCCATTCGGGAATAGCCGAAGTGTCGGAAGAAAAGGGAATAAAAGGGGCCCACAGACAACGCCATTGTTCAAAAGTCCAAACATGAGACATAATCTTGGGTGTCACTGATGCTTCTTGCCGTAATATCATCTCGACATCATTATAGACGTGACGAAACCTTCGTCAAGACACGGCACAAAGCATAGTGACCCGTAAACGAATCCAAAGAGCACCGAGTATTTCTCCCCGGGGGGTTTTCAAACAAATTCCCCTTTGGTAGCCATTTATATTATTGTATCACACCCATATGCATAGACCAGCAGGTTTACTTTCAGTCAACACCTCGTATTTAAGGTTGTTTTGAACTTTGCAATCTCTCATACAGGGTGGGGGCGCTGAGATAGAGGAAATAAACCCTGAGCTCCCGTGTTTCCGAATTTGCCTGACATGAGGGGCTTTTCCCCTAGAGCTTCTGCTCTTTCTTTAGTAGAAATACAGAATTTCTTGTCACTAGATTAGACGGGTTAGTTAATACATACTCGGGTATTAAAATGAGATGCGTAGTCACCGAGGTCCGAATGCGGGGAAACTGAAAAGCATATATCTATACAATATACTTAGTATGCATGTACGGAGTTATTGGTAACATCAAAATGAATTTCGACTTGCCAGCAGATCTCCAAGCCCATTTAGAGTCTATAGATTCGTTTATTCACTCAACTATTCTCCCATTGCAGCATTCCGATGACAATAACCGCTTCTTCGATCACCGTCGTGAGTATGCACGAACCCACTGGGAAAACAATGGGAATCCACGAAAGGAATGGGAAGAGCTATTAGGTCAGTTGAACAAACTCAAAGACGAGCGGAACTGACAAATCGGTAGATAAGGCGGGTACTCTGGCAGATTCCTCGGGTTTTTACCGATTCGCCCTCCCCCGAGTCTATGGGGGCCAGTCACATCCGGACGTGAACTTATGGATGTCCGCCATTCGCTATCACTTGTCCTCGAACGCTGTGTACGGTGGAGGTTTGGGGCTGGCGAATGATT